AAAGATAAAAGAAAGAAAGAAAGAAAGAAAGAAAGAAAGAAAGAAAGAAAGAAAGAAAGAAAGAAAAGAAAGGAAGGAAAAGAAAGAAAGAAAGAAAGAAAGAAAGAAAGAAAGAAAGAAAGAAAGAAAGAAAGAAAGAAGAATCAAAGATTAGGTTCTTTTAAATAGTAAATAAAATCAACAAACCCGTAGCCAATCATCAAAAAATAAATAAAACACTCAAATCCAGCAATTAGGAATGAAAAGGGTGAATGACAACAGACCCTGCATATATCCAGATCATCTATACCTACTTTGAAAACTTATATTCTGATAAGATGGAAAATGCAAAAGAAATTGACAGATTCCTAAATACATATGAATTACTAAAGCTGAATGAAGAAGATATACAAACCCTATGTGAGCCAATATCAATGAAACTGAAGATGTAATTAAAAACCTACTCAGAAAGTAAAGCCCAGGCTCTGACAGACTCACTGCTGAATTCTTCTAGAAATTTATAAATGGTTAACCACCACTACTTCTCAAATTCTTTAATGAAATTTAAAGGGGAACAATACTCTCAAATTCATTCCTAGAAGCATTACCCTGATACTAAAACTGGAGAAGGATCCAGCTAAAAGTGGAATTACAGGCCAATCTCCCTAATGAACATAGATGCAAAAAATACTCAATAAAATACTGGCAAACAGAATGCAACAAATCATCAAGAAGATTATATGCCATGACTAAATAGGATTCATCCCAAGGATACAGGGATGGTCCAATATACATAAATTAATAAATTTGATATACTGTATTAACAGAACCAAGGACAAAATGATATGATCATCTCAATTGTTGTAGAAAAAGCTTTTGACAAAGTCGATCACTCATCCATGATTTAAAAAAAAAAAAAAAGCCCTATGGAAAGATAGGATAGATGGTCTTTATCTTAATTTGATAAAAGACAGCTATGACAAACCAATAGCCAAAATCATGCTAAATGAACAAAAATGGAAAACTTTCTCTCCAAGATCAGGAACAAGACCAGGATTTCCACTGTCTCTAACTTTATTCAGCGCAGTGCTAAAAACTTTAGCCAGAGCAATTGGACAAGAGAGAGAAATAAAAGGAATAAAGACAGGAAAAGAAAAAGTTAAATTATCATTATTTGCAAATGGCATGATATTCTACAAAAAGACTCAATTAAAATACTGCTAGATTTAATAAGAAAATTTAGCAGCATAGCTGGATACAAAGCCAACCCTTAAAGCTCAATAGCATTCCTGTATACAATAATAGAGAGAGAAATTAGGGAATCAATAGCCTTCCTAATAGCATAAAAAAAAACCCTTAGGAATCAATCTTAAAAAAGAAGTAAAAGAACTCTACATAGAAACCTACAGTATTCTGAAAAAGGAGAGCAGCTATCAAAAATTGGAAAAGCTATCACAAATGGAAAGCAGCTATCAAAAAGTGGAAAGACATCCCTTACTGTTGCGTAAGAAGAACAAATATAGTGAAAATGGCCAAACTCCCAAAATCGTTTTACAGATTCAGTGCTATTCCAACCAAAATTCCACTAGTATATCTCACAGAATTAGAAAACTCCATCCTAAAATTTGTTTAGAACCAGAAGAGACCTAGAATAACAAAAGCGATTATGTGCAACAAAAGCAAGACAGGGGTGTCACAATCTGACTTGAAATTATGCTATAAAGCTACTGTGATGAAAACAGCATGGTACTGGCAAAGAAACAGATCCAAAGACCAATGCAACAGATTAGAAGGTGCAAAAACAAGTTCAGACATATTCAGTCACCTTATATTTGTTTTTTTAATATTATATTTATTTTTTATTGAGAAATAAATATGAATGAGACAGTTCCACAGTTGATTAATAGGACAGTTTTGATAGTCAATATACTGTACATTGTTATCTTCTTCGTGTTTATACATAGTCAGAAGCAGACAGGATATTCTGTCCAAACACTGTTAGTACACCTCTTTTTTCTCATTGAATTAAGCAAAAGTAGCTGTAAATTTATCCTATTTTGTATGTATAAATAAAAAATGATCTTTCCTTTGTATCCTTTTATTTTTTTATTTTTTTGTCCCGTAAGAGGTGAATACTCTATTGGCATCTAAATACTATAGGTGTTTGAATTCAACTAAAAAATCTAACACTGTCTAGCAGTCTATCTTAGTGGGTTATCTTCAGAAGGTATTGACTTGAGCCTTTTACAGCTCATCGTATGGATTTACTTTATATACCTCATTTTTATACTTTTCTGCTGAATGGTTAAGACCAAGGTATAGCAAGACCTATATACCAAGAAATGTAACTTTTGTATCTGGTAAGGTCAGCCAAGTACTCTCAGGATTTATCCTGTAGCCCTGAACCGCCTTTTGTACATCCTTTTGTCAGTGTCTGACATGAGGATGAGTCACGACCATTGCTTGACCAATTTGCTCTCTGTGAAAGCTTGAGAAAATGTTTTTTCTCTCCATGTGACTCTCCCCAGGCTCACTTTAGATCATTGAACACATTCCTCTGTAGCTCCATAATCTTCTTGATCAGAAAATTTGGAGGAGGGGGCGAGGGAGATGGCTTAGTAGAATAAGCACTTCCCTGGCAAGTGCAAGGTTCTGAGTTCAATCCCCGGTTCCTCAAAAAAAAAAAAAAGAAAAAGAAAAAGAAAAAAAAAAGAAAGAAAGAAAAAAGAAAATTTGGAGCACAACTGAGTTACATGTTGTTACAGTACAGGTTCTTCTATGTCCCGAGTCTTCACTGACCTTAAAAGGCTAGGGCCAAAATGTTGGCTAAGAATGCAGCCCTTCCTTTTCTCCAAACCTTATATTTGACAAAGGTGCCAAACACATGCACTGGAAGAAAGATGGCCTCTTTCATAAATGCTGTTGGAGAAACTGGCTCTGCACATGTCAAAAACTAATATTGGACCCATTTCTTTCACCATGAAATAAAATAAAGTCAAAATGGATCAACGATCTAAATATTAAAAAACAAATATTAAATCTGCGGGAAGACAGAATGTGTAAGACTTTGGTATAGGTAAAGACTTTATGAATAAAACCCCAATCTCAGGGCTGGGAAGATAGCTCAGTAGAATAAGCACCTGCCTGGAAAGCACAAGGTCTAGAGTTCAATCCCCAGTACAAAAAAAAAAAAAATACACAGCAATTATCACAAAGAATCAACAACTCTGATCTCATCTTAATAAAGATATTTTGAATAACAAGAGAAAACACCAACAAAGTAAAAAGATAACACAATATGGGAAAATATGTCAGCCAGCTATTACTCAAAGGATTCCTGTTAAAAACATATAAAGAACTTAAAAAAATCAGATCTCCTAAACTTAAAGACCCAATCCAAAATTGGGCATCTGAGATGAATACACACTTTCCATTTGGAGACGTACAAACAGCAAATAAATATATGAAAAAAAAGTTCAACATTGGTCATTGATCAATTCAGAGACACAAAGTAGAGATTTCTTCTCACACTGGAAATAATGGCTATTATCAAGAAATTGATCAACAACAAATGCTAGAGGGGCTGTGGAGGGAACCCTTCTCCATCACTGGTATGAGTGTGGAAACTATTGGTACAGTTACTGTGGAAATCAGTGTGGAGATTTCTCAAAAAAACTAGGATTGGAGGTCCCATTTGACTCAGCTATTGAACATCTGGGTGTCTTCCCAGAAGAGTAAACAAGGATTGTACCATAGCAATATATGTACACCCATGTTTATAGAAGCATAATTTATACACCTAATCTTAGAAACAATCCAAATGTCCATCAATTGAAGAAGGGATTTTAAAAGATGTGTGTTTTTATAAGTGGAGTACCGTACAGCCATAAAGGAGGATAAACTGGAGATTTTTAGGATTCGTAGGTAAATAGATGCAAATTGAGACCATTACTCACAATAAACCATATGCACATGTGTAAACATCACATTGTCTCCCTAGTATAGCTCATATGAAGATAAGAGTACACAATGTATTAACCATTGTTATCCTTGTATTATCTTATTTTGACTTCTTTCCTCTGTTTAAAATTTAAAAAAGAAAGATGATTATAGGTTCTACCACTCAGGCTGTATTTTTTTCAACCCCTATTCTGTGTATTTATTCTAGTGCACTCTGAGGTTTGAAGCCAAATACTTGCAGAAGATTAATTTGTGTGAAATTGATAACCATGTCACTAATAACTTTTTATGCTTAAAAATAAATGACTATCTTTCATGATCTTAGTGTTTTAAACTCATTTTTTAAAGTATACACTCATAATTATGCTCATTCTAACATAAGAAATATCTCAAAAATATACAGAAAGTATATACTAGATTCTCATAATTAGAAATGCACCCTTTAAAAATAAATTTATATTCAAAATTCAGAGAAGAGGAAAATCATAATTTGGCAGATGCTTGTAATTTCCCATCTATGATACATAATGCCTTTGGATAACATTTGGTCAGTCTAGTCTATTATTTTTTTATTCTTTAATTAATTATTTGATAATGAGCACATTAAAATGACATGATTTGGGTATTACATTATAATCATAAGAGAAATATCAGG